TCCACCGTGCCCACTGCACCGGCGAGAGGATCTGCCAGGCGCTGAACGCCATCGGCCCCGCTCCGCTCCCCGCTCCCCGCTCCCCGCTCCCCGCTCCGCTCCGCCGGGCTCAGTGCGGCCGCGCCGCCGCCCCCATCGCTCCCCGCTCCGCTCTCCGCTCCGCTCCGCTCTCCGCTCCGCTCGGGCCGCCCCCGCACCGCGACACTGACGGCGGGGAGCGCCCGCCCCCGGCACCGCCCGCGGGGAGGGACCGGCACCGAACCCCCTGAACCCCCCTGAACCCCCCGGCACCGCCCGCAGGGAGGGACCGGCACCGAACCCCTGAACCCCCCTGAACCCCCCGGCACCGCCCGCAGGGAGGGACCGGCACCGAACCCCTGAACCCCCCGGCACCGCCCGCAGGGAGGGACCGGCCCCGGGATGGGTGCGGGGCCATGCGGGGCAGCGTCCCCGATCCCCCGCCCTCCCGGCCGGAGTCACAGCCGCCGCTCTTTTTCCTATGCAAACTCCCAAATTCACCCATTTGTGGCCCAAATTCACCCATTTGTGGCCAAAGACAGGGCCGGGACACATCGCTGTCACCTCCCGGCACACGCAGCCTCCCCCACCCCGCACTGACAGAGCAGGGGACCGTGAAACCAAATCCCCACATTTCCTTGACTGCACCTGTGCTGTCCCAGAGCKGGCAGGACGCACATTCTTTCCACTCTGGGCGTGCCAGAGGAGCCCCCGCGCTGGCGAGGAACTGCCCCGGGGGGCGAGCAGCCCCCAGGAACCCTCGGTCCCACTGGGAAGGGTGGGGAGCTTTGCCCAAGGAAAGGGATTTCCCAGAGCTGAGGAGCCAAACACAGATGGGCTGGGGCAGAGGGGAGGGAAACACCTGCCCTTTCCATTTTTCAAGGAAATACCGGCCTCAACAGCCCTGGCTGATGCCATATCCTTCCGTGGCAGCAAGTTTATTTATTTATTGAACTATTGTTGTTTAAAAATAACAGCCAGCAGTTCCCACAGAAATGGACCTTGCTGGCCTCCCTCAGGAACTTTCCCTCAGGAACTTTCCCCCTAAGGAGGGCTCCCCTCCCCGTTTCATCACCTCCCACACTCGCTCCAGAGCAGTGTAAGGTTACCGGGGCCGTGCTGCGGGAATGCCCGGGGCTCTGGCAGCAGATCTGTCACGGCAGCAGCAGAGCTCCGGACAGTGAGCAGCTCCCTGGAACCCGAGTGGTGCCAGCCCTGGGTCCAGGGGTGAGCTCGGAAATGGCAGAGAGCTGAAACGAGCCCGGCCCAGCGCAGAGAGGAGCTGCTGSCCCTCGCTGACCACACCGAGAGCTCCCTTGGCACTGGGAGTGCTTCCCTGTGAATCATCAGAGAGCTGGGAATGCCTCTGCACGGACACAGAGGCCTCTGGGGCACTGCAGACCCGTCCATCTGGTCCGGCTGCCTCTGCCACAGCCTCTGCTGGATGTTTCAAAGGACTCATTCCTCACTGTTGAGCATCTCAAATAACCTCCCTGCGGGGATCCTTTCTGACAGGCTYCCATCTCCTGGTGACCTTATTAGATATAAGTGTGTCACTCCTGCAAGCTTTTACTGTCCGTCCTCTTTAAAAGAAAACCTCTTACTCCCTTCCACAGCACTTCCAGAGTTCCCAGAGATTTCTCTGGGTGAATCAGAGCCGAGGTGCTGCAGTCAGGGCAGCACACGGGACCCAGGGCTTGTCCCCACCCAGACCTGGGGGCCCTGCACATCCCCCTTATCGAGCTTAGCCAAAAACCACGAGCCTGAAGCAAAAGCAGAAGCTCAACATCCTGTTGCCGTGAGCAGAGCACAGCCCACTTCCCCGCTGAAAAGCGGCAGAGCTGATTCCTGCAGATGAATTTTACATAAGATCTCCGGCGTGAGCCGCGCTGCAGAGACGTGCTGCAGCCTGACCTCATCCTCCTCTGCTCCCGCTTCCCCTTCCACCTCCCCCTGAACCCGAGCAGCAGTGACGGTGTGAACCAGCGGATGAACCGTGCCAGGGATCGCACAGGGAGAAGAGAAACCCGAGCACAGCAGAGCAGAGCAGCAGCAGCAGCAGCAGGATGGAGCCTCCTCCGCTGCAGAGGGGAAGGAGCTGTGGGTCACAGCTGATCCTGCAGCCCCCCCCTTGCTGGATGAGGGAACCAGGGAGGAAATGAGGAGGGAAAAGTGCAGGAAATGAGCAGGGAAAAGTGCAGGAAATGAGCAGGATTGTCCTTGTGCAGTGCACCCAGTGAGGAACCCCACACCCACCCAGCTGGCAGGAACGGGATCAGCAGGACTGAAAACCACACCGGCTGCACAGCTCTGACCTGCAGGGACCTGGGGCAGGAAGATACCAGCAGCAGAGCCTGCTTCCACTCGCTGTTCCTGAYGAGCAATTAAGAAAATGCCTCGAGTGGCATTTTCCAGCTCGGCACCTGAGCCAGCCTGGCAGCACTGCTGGCTGCAAATCACCACCGGGGAGATAACCTGACTGTGTCAGTCACACTGCAGGCTCTGCCTGCCAAACGCTGCTTGGCACAGCCAGCAGACACATCTCTGCAGAGCGGGGAGGATGCTGACCTGTTCAAAAACACCTGCCAGCATTTCCATCCGCACAGGCAGCAGCTGGACGGGCTGTCCTTGGCACTGCTGTCACCCCTCAGTGCTGCCACAGGACTCTGTGACACCCCTTGGCACTGCTGTCACCCCTCAG